CTAAAAAGTACTTTAAACTATATAAATTAGTTATTCAGTCAATTGATTTACATCAACCAATCATACCTATGACCCACGGGTCAACCCATGGTTGACCCCGGGTTGACCCGCAGGTTGACCCGTGGGTTGGTTACCCGGGTTGTTACAACTCAACCCGGGTGACCCACCCACCCGCGGGTAACCCAGGTAAGACCCACTCGGGTCAAAACACTAGTCTATAGATCATGTAAACTTGTGAGATTTAATCATTTGAAATTAACATTCTATTTCTTAGTACATACCTCAGTGGTTTCAGCAGGTATAATAAATCGGCGATTGAAGTAGTTTTTCTCTCTTATTCTTTTTTTATTAGATTGATTTAATTTTTGAACTTTAGATTGAAAAAAATTAATTTTTTCAAGGACAAAATTCATATTAGAACTATCATCAATCTGAACGATTTTATTCTTTCTATTAATAGAGTATATTAGGATTGATTCTTCATTGCTGGTAATTGAAGGATAGTTTCGGATTGCTACTTTGGAATTTTCATTAAGTTGCGCAACCATGCCATTATTTAAATCTTGCACTTGTTCTTTGATTTTTCTTTCCGAGGCCGAGGAAAAGTTAACAATATGATTCTCATTTGGAGTTGGTAAGATTGCTTTATAAAATTGAAAATAAAATTGAATATAGTGTGTTTTAAATAAATTGTTAGTCGTTCCATTCAATCGGCAATATGGTTTATTGTCTATTCATCTGTTTCTTATTTTTAAAATATTAGATTGACTATATTCGGAAAAGAAGGATTTGATGTGAAATGGATTACTAAAATAATTTATTGAAATGGGACTGGGAATACTAATAAAGAGGAATAAATTAAAATACAATTCTGTGGTGAATGTTGGGGCTTGAGATTTATTTGTATATTTTCCAACTTTTAATTGGGCGATGCGATTATTATGTGTAAAATGGATTTCTTGAATTTGGTCATCCTTATGAATTTTTTTATAAGGATTAAAATTGAACTTAAATAAATACGTAAATAAATATGCAATTATTGGTTCAAAGCGAGAACGAAACATAAACTTCGTATCAGTAAAGAATCGGTTTCCAGTTAAATCAAAAAATTTTTTA